CAAAACCCCCAAAACATGTGTGTATGTAGACCTACATACATTTAATAATTATAACAACAGATCAACACTGTAGGTGCTAAATGCGGACATGAAACTAATTAACACTGGGACTACAAAAGAATAGAAGTGCTCCCTGCAAATTTGTGAAAAGGTGTGATAAATTGTTGTTACTCTAATTGTAGATTTTTTTGTCCCTCTCAACTCAGTGTAGACTTTGTAGGAGGCTGGTTGCTTGGACCGTGGGTTGTCACCTGTGAGGGATATTCCTGTCCTATCGCCACCACTCCCCATCCCCACCCCACCTCCCCTTTCCCACCACCTTTCCCCATCAATACAAATCCCTCACCACAAACACAGAGAATACTCAACGTGGGTGGTCAGCGGGTGCTCTGGTGTGGTTCGCTCCTTCTTTCCTATCAAACATCTATATTATTATGTTCCTTTTCTCTCCCCCTTCTTTTCTTTGTATGTTACTCTCTTATCACACCTTTAAACTTCGGTATTTATTAGATCTATTCGTATTGCAAATATAAATGAAAATAAAACTGATCTACTCTACAAAATACTGCCATCTTAGTTTAGTATTAGTAGAGGTTTTACGGCGCTCCCAACTGTGCATAAAATCCTGTCATCTGTTCGCGGGACTCGGACATGTGTATTTTGCGTGCGAGGTGAACAATCTAACCACTACACCACGCGCAAAAGTCCGTAGAGTTGGTTGAAGGAAGCCACACACGAGTGGTCAACGCTTCCAGTGGTAGACTAACTCTCCACGGACCTAGTGGACGGGCACACACGCACACACACACACACACACACACACACACACACACACACACACACACACACACTTCCGATCTACTGCAGACCCAAAGATAATACTGTAACACATATCGAACACATTTAAACTTACCGTTGTATGTCCCCCCAAATAAAAATCTTCTTTTTTTTCTTTTAAAGTTTTTTAAATCAAGTTTGTTGTTGGTTTTATTAATTAATTTTTAAAAAATGATGTTGAATTTTTTTCTCATGATTTTGGTTTGCTGTTTTTCTTGCTTTTGTCGTCGTTGTTGTTTTTATTTTATAGGTTTGTGACATTGAAACCGGTAGTTTTGTCTGAAAATGAGGTGTGTTTGAGCGTTATTGGGTAATCAGAATGGGCATCCCCCCACGCGGCGAGGTGACGACGCTGTGACTAACACCACCACACACCATTAGCCTGGCCCTACCCAAGCCCACCTCAGCCGGTGTTTGAATCCTTTAGAGGGGGAAAAACTATCTAGAATGTAACAAAAGAATTATTTTAAAAAGGGACAACCTACCAACCAAAAACCGGAGCAGCGCAGTCAGTAGTGGTAGTATAGTAAACGATAGCAGTATGAATCAAGTGGGAAGATCAAGAATTGTCGAGAGGAAGATTAATAAGGAAAACTAGGAATCTAGAAAAACTAGCGGGTGGTGAAGACGAATAAAAAATAATAGAAGAGATAATAGTTTAAAAAAATAAAATCAACAGCAGCATCAACAACAACACAACCACAACAACAGCGACAAGATCCAGAAGAAGAAGAGCAAAACATAGTAATAACAATAACAAAAAACAGCAGTAACAATAACGACAACAAAAACAGCCACAACAACCACAATCACCACCACCACCACAACAACAACAACCAAAAGCTCTACTCACCACTATTGTGTACATGATCCATGCTTCCATCCTCCCCTTCCTCGTCCTCACAACCGTTCCTGTCCTTCAGAAACTTGACCATATTAGTATGATCGTCCTCTCTATCGTTTTCCTGTCGGAATTCCATCCCGGGACCCACCGGGTCAGTCGCCGCGGCCGTGAGGGCGAGACCCTCGTTGTCCACATGCCGGGGTTTGGATTGCTTACGTCTTGACATGATGGCTACTCACTGACCACTGGCTTGTAGCCCACACCACGGGCTACTCACTGACCACTGGAGAGTAGCCTACACCACGGGCTACCACTCACCACCGGCTCGTAGCCTACACCACCAGCGGCACAATCCTGACTCTCACTCTGAATCCAGTGTTCCGTGTGAAAGAAATGAGTTCAAACCTTCCTCGGCTCGGTTATCTCACTAGCTATAGTCCAGGGATATCTGAAAAAGAGAGAGAAAAACAACTGAAAATAAATTTTGTCTTTGAATAAAAGAAAGAAAAAAAGTATTGTTGCCACTAATGCCGTAACCGTTAAGTTCTCTTTTGACCATACCAATTGATACT